GGGCTGTTCTAGTTTTAGGGAAATGCGATGTTTAGCTCAGGATAGGAAAGAGTGGAGGTACGTGTCCAACCACTCTTAGGACTGACGACCTTATGATGATGATGGGCAAAGTCCGCACAGTGCAAGGGTATGCAGAGGTAGCGCAAAAATGTTAGTACCATAAGTACTAAACACTACATGGGCAACGCTAATTCTGCTAATCAATTAAAGGCGAAGCAGTTATTGAGATTTAAAGGAAGTGAAAATTGTGTTACTGTTCACATTCCATAATGAATTTGAATTTTCCCAAAGCAATGACAGAAATGATTAATTATTCTTGAAATTATGAAGTTCTGATGTCTATGAAACAATGATTTTCAAAGATTTTTATGAAAGCAAAAATTATTATGCCTACCGGAAATCTTGCATAAATTGAACCGCGATTAGTTTTGTTTCGTCGATTTATTATGGCTAACTCTCGGAACTCCATTGACTGTTCAGTTTCCAATTTATCGACCCACTCCCCCTAATAACCGTCTGTTTTATGGCTGTGTAGGATATTTCGACTGAAATTGACGATAAATTATTAATTTTTCTTTTGCCATTACGGACAGTTATCACCAACACGTTTCGGAAGTGACCGTATAAAATTGATATTACGTACGATACTTGCGATTGCGAACCAAGGCGACATACACACATGGGTACATATATATATATATATTTATGGCATTCCGAACGGCCCTATTTTACGACGACATAACCTCCTCGTTCTTACCGCCACTCAGTGTAACAGATTAAGTTGTAACCGCGCTTTTCCTTTCCAATGATGGCCCCATTTCGACGCGGATCGTTCGTGTTGGACGCGGGGGTCGATCGAATACGGCGCCATCGAGCTCTCGCTCATTACCACCTCCTTTAATCAATAACGAAATTTAATGCCGTTTGTTTAATACAATGGCATCTGTTGCATCAGCGAAAATGCTGGACTAATGGTCGCACTAAAATCGTTATTAGCACTTTGCGTTAGTCACAATACCAGCCTCGTGATAGTCGACGGGTCCATTAAACGAGCATAATATAATTAATTCTTTTTTGTTTGTTTAATAGGCTTATTGAGATGCACGTGTGAACCCTAGACAAAAATTTTCAGTCTCTCTCCAGTCTCTCCGAGTGTTTCAGCGTCTCTGTGAGCGTCTCTCGCAGTCTCTCAGTTATTGCCTAGGTGTTTTTATGGATCTCTCAATTCCTCACAGTCTTTGGAGAGACTCGAACGATAAAATTGTTAATTCAGAGATTCGAGTCTCTCACAGAGGAAGTTCAAAACAGTAGTTATAAACAATATTCCAGAGATAATCTTTTTTATCTGCAATAGTACGAATAAAGATATTTAATGGTCACTAAAACGTACANCAAAATAAAACAATTAAGTGATAAAGGAATCTTAAGATATATCTTAAAAAGCAGCGTTAGTTGAATAGATAAATGTTGCAGTAAAAATATAAAGTTAAAATGTAAGTATGCAACAAACAAATAAAATACTTGATTAGAGTATGTCATTGATTCGATATAGAAACTATTTACGGTATAAGTTGCAAAATAATAAGATATACTTCAGGTGTTTATATAAATGAATGAAAGAAATGAAATATGTTTGTGCGTAATACATGTCACCATTCTTATGCTTGGTTCATATATCTAATAAACTCACGATGCTGATACATCTACGTGACTATAGCAAAAAAGAAACCGAGGAGAATAAGCTTTCTGGAAAAAAGACATTCTATGACTGTTTATGTATATAAGCATCCGACGAAATGTAAGAAAGTTGAAAATCCATACGGTGATATAGTTAGATAGATAAGTGATACAAATAATACACGCTGAGATAAATCTGCATAAATCTTCGCTGAGGTATACTTTCTCTAGCGATATGCCCCTTCCAGTGTCTTAGATGCACTCTGGCAAAATCGTAGGTAGGGAGAAAAAAGCTCATTATACTCTCGACTCTTGAACATTAAATATATTTTTTCCTCACCGGTTAAGAGTTTGGCCGAGAGTTGTCTCCTTTTTCTGGCCTAGCGCTGTTCTTTACTACTTTGCGCCGGTCAATCTGAAGGACACACCGCTACAGAAAGTATACGAAGTATACGCCTCGTACAATTCCTTATTAAAAAATAAAGTGAAATTATTTATAACCCACCTTTTATCTATATCGATTCCACCAAGATATGATTTCTGGTTAGAATTGCATAAGCCAAACAAGAAAGCCTTATAATTTTCGCATTCAACTGCAGAGAATCCTCCACTTTCTAGAGACTCTACGTAATAATCAATTGCTCTTTCATGAGAGCACATGGCGTTATAGTTACAGCCAGGTTGATCGATCGTGTTTACGAAATAAGATGCGTGTCCTACTGGAACTGTTAGTCCAATAGAACTAGTATGGACTGATTGTACAAAGTAGGCCTTTTCAGTATCGATGTACACTATTGGAGGCGTCATATTGGCAGGATCCAAAGCCACAATTGTATCAATTTCTCCATCTAAATGTCTCCCTATTGACGGGTGAATTGAGCTTTGTTACCAAATTCATGTTAATATCAGATTATATTTTTACCCTTTTGTCAAGCATAGTGATGATAGGAGAATGATGAAAGGGGACAATAAGAAAAGGAGGGATATGATATTGACAATGAAACACAAAATGTGCTTTTCACCTTCATTTAGGTAATTTATTTATTTTTGTCAATAACAAAACTGATAAAATAGATAAATTGAACTGTTCGGAATGTGATGCGACATATATATAAGGCAAACGGATCGTAATTTTAAGGTTAGACTTAAAGAGCATAAAAATACTTTCAAACGGGCTATTGCAGCATTGCATAATAATTGTTTTATTTAATATGTTTTATTATTAGCCAAACGCTGATATCATTAATGTTACATGAAGTGTTAATTTGAGATATGCATATTAGAAGCAGAAATAGAAATGAAGAGGCAGCGAAAACCCTAGATTAGATTAATGTTAACATATAGTTAGGTTAGGTTATAGATTACAATAAGGTATTTAATATGAAAATGATAATTAAGTCAAGGTAACACTCGATTGAATGAAAATGACAAACTGAAATTGCTAAAAAATTAATTGAAAATAGCATTAACGATAGTGTTTTTAATTTCCGCTACTCAAGTATGTTCTCTTGAGTGAATTTTATCGATTTTAATCGAAGAATTTTATGTTTTGAGAAAAATGCGTAATCATTAAAATTCTTAACAATATTGTATTAATGTGAAAAGTTTCAAATGAGTATAGGTGAATATTTTATAAATATAAGAAGAAGTTTCAACTAATAATATTATTATTAATGTGAAAATTTTAAATGAATTTTCACGTTAATATTAAATATTAAACGTTTTATGATAATATTATGATTATTATTGCTTCCTTACCTATTTCTCCGGCAATATGAGAGCCCATACTAAATCCCACTAGGATGAAGTCTTCAGCAAAAAGATCGTAAGCAGTTTTCATAAGACTAATAAAATAAGCGATAATTCTCCCAGTCGCAACTATAGCTGCATCGTGTATTTCAAATGCGCTAGCAGGACCACTGTAGTCCACCAAGAAGACGTTAACATCGATTTGATCTAGTAACGCGTTCTTAGCGTTAGTTGCTATTTTGTAGTTACAATATAATCCATGAATAATAAAGTAATTTAGTCGGGAGCTTTTAAAGTTTGACGTTGAAAGGTCGGATAAATTAGCTGAATTAATCTTTTGGGGTTCGTTTCTGTTTTCCTTTGCGAAAAAAAATAGTGTCACATTGTCGGTCGTTATTTCCACTGAACTGACGCCTAGAATTTGTAAAAATTCTTCACAATACATTTTATATATTTTTTTACAATTTTAATTGCACCCAAAGTATTACAGACAAATAAAGAAAACCATAAAGTTTAACCCAATTAAACTTTAGTTAGTAATATCAAATTTTCTGTGCAGAAGTGTATTCAATTCTAAAAACTTATTGTTAGTTAAAGCTTACCGAACGAAAGAAGGTAAAAAATGAAGATACCAACTCTTGCAAGGAACATACCCATTGAGGTGTCAAAAAGTAAGTCAGTTTTGTTAAAGACAGCTAAAAAATTTATACTATCTTATCAGCAAAGCTAGAATACGTGTATGTCATATACATATCTCTATTATGCACATGCATATGCTATTTGACGGAATCCCTCAAAGCATGCAATAAAAATGTAAATTCTGCAGATGAGTTGCCATAAATGTAGACATAAGTCTACTGGTTGTAAAATAAGTAACAGAAAAAAGTTGCAATATTATTACATTAACCCGAAGACAGCATTTCGATATCTTTGGATTTCATCAGCACGCAGCGTCGCGTAGAAGGTTCAACAAAGTAAATCCCAAACGCTGTTTATTGCAGTTTTTTAATTTATTCGAAAGAGAGGCTCTCTGATTAGTTACTTTTGGTTTGTAATTCCTAGTTATTTAGCAATTTCCCATCTACCAACACTGGCAAAAAGATGAAAAAGCAAATATAACTTATACGTAGGTAATTTCAAAAAGAAACGCATAGAATATGATTTTTTGTAAAATGCCATGAATATTGCTACTTATACAACATTACGCCATCTATAATGAATTCAGATGAACAACGACAACGATGCTTAACTTCTATAATTAAGGAAAATAACTGAAATGTTTATTGTAAGTAATATAACGTAAGTAAAATGCATATTTTATAAATCATGCATAGAATGCATACTTTTGAGTAAAGGAATACTTACCTCATACTTGTATTTGAATATTTATAGAAAACAGTTACTGTGTAAGCTACGAATAGATATTTTTTAGATAAAAATAAAATTAAAAACATCAAAACTGTTTCTGTACTGCTTAATAAATTTTAGTCTCAATTTATAATTAGATTTTAATAAATCAAACGAAAGTCATTTTAAAGCTTTTTATTGAGAATTGCATTTGTTTCTGGTTAGATTTGTAGACATCTTAAATTGACGAAGTGAACAATTAACGTTATCTGCTCAATCTTTTGAAAACGGAGGTCTCTTGTAAGTATCCAGAAAATAACTTCCATTGGCCCTAAAAAACATTTGTTTCTATATAAAAATAAATTTTTACATGTTGTAAATATATTTTATTGAAAAAAGACATTTTCTTTTTCAGATTTTCTATTCAACCAATTTAAAAGTCGTATTATTTGGTCTTTCAATTAGATTAGATTAGGCATACTTACACCACTTGGTGGTAAAACTTGTAGTTTGAAATTAACGGACTAATTTACATGAGAATGATGCATGTGGATCGAAAAATTGTTTTTTAAAATCACAAAACGCGTTAAATAAACTAATTTTTTTGATAACGAATTCCGCAGAGTTTTAAAAGAAAAATTTACTAAAAATTTTCCTGAAAGCAATAGATTTGTGTCCATAAAATAAGCGAATTCTGAAATAAAAATCAGTTTACATCATTTTAATACTGATCATTATAACAGTAGATAAGCTACGACAATTCGGGATCCAAATGTCATGTATTGCCTTGTTCACTTCATCCATTTTTAACTGCTGTCATCGTAAGTCAGGACTTCGCCCTGCTCCTTCTGCGAGTACTCCATCCTCCTTAACCCCCCTGCGGTTGTTCCGTCCCCTGAGACCCCCATTATCTGTGGTTCCCTGATTATAAGGTGCTCCGCTGTTTCTCAGGTCTGCGATACCTCATCGGCATGCCCTAGAGGTTTAGCCATTGCCTAGCATTCGGGAGAACTCCGGTTCGATTCCTGGTCTGTCTGCATCGGCCCAAGTTGTTCTGTGATTTCCCTGGATCTCTTAAGCAAATGCTGGGGCAGTAATATTCCACAAAAAAAATCTTTCATTCCCTTATGTCTTCAATTCGTCCGTCTCATCTCTCTCACCCGAACCACCACCCATCCATTCCAACGATTCCTGAAAGGAAAGAAGGTTGAAGAAGGCCTTTCGACCTACCTTCCGGCGTAGTCTGGAGGGACTGCCCGCTCACAAGCGGTAGTGGCTGGTAAGAATGAAACACCCAAAACTTTTTTTTTAAATTTTTTGATGTCGTAGCTTATCTACTATATTTTACCAGGTGTTTAAGTAGATATCTTAAGTACTTAACCTTCTTGAATACTTAATTTATAAATTAAATAATTGCGAGTTGTGAGCATTAATTACTACAGTTAATCGGCTTTTATCAATATGAGAATAATTATTACTTTTTAGGATTAAATCAGATACAATCATTTGCCGATACCTATTCATGCCTTATTGATACAGATCGTCTCAAAAGCAAGCATATCGTCTTGGTATCGTATGAAAAAAATCGATACGAGACGAGACAGTGTCGATAAAATATCTTCATATTCCCCCATAGTTAACAGATTCCTACCGGGTGTCAAGTATCTCTCCGCCAAGGTACGATAACGGATTGTTGTCACACAAGCCCGATGAATATGATTCACGACAATCACATCTAATGGCATAAAATCCTCCATTTCTCACTGACTCTGCGTAATACTGCGCCGATCTTAAATGAGAACATTCAACGTCCCCTTCGCAACCGGGTTGTTCTGCGGTGTTGGGATAATAGTCGGCATGTCCCAAAGCAGTGAACAGTCCCTTCGAGCTTGTATGTATTACTTGAACATATTCAGCCTTGTATGCATCTATATAGACGTTTGGTGGTGTCATATTTGCCGGATCTAGAGCTACAATCGCTCGAATTTTGCCATTCAAATTCTTGCCTAGAAATAAACAAAAGAACCCCGTCTTTAGTTACTAAGAAACTACAGGATTCTCTTGACAAATTTTATGGCAGTTTCACTTCTATATTTTACAGAAAATATAGGGTTGTTCGGAAAGTCATTTCGTTTTCTCCCGACAGAGGATTTAATTGTATTCTTTTGCACCCAACTTAACATTTAAGCCGTATAATTTTTATATGCTTTGAGAGATCATATGGCAAGGCGTGTGTATGAAAGATTCCAATTAATTCTACGAATAATTTTTGGTTGGTGCCCTTTTAAATATGGAGAGCGATAAGCAGCATTTTCGACATATCTTACTGTTTTACTACAGAAAGGGTAAAAATGCTGTTCAAGCCAGAAAGAAATTGACTGATGTGAATGGAGAAGGTGTGTTGACAGTACGCCAGTGCCAGAACTGGTTTGCTAAATTTCGATCCGGCAATTTTGATGTTAAAGATGCACCACGTTCGGGAAGGCCGGTTGAAGCTGATAAAGACGCGATAAAGGCATTAGTTGATGTGAACCGACGAATAACAACACGCGAGATCGGATTGAGGTTAAATTTATCAAATTCAACAGTTTATGACCACTTGAAAGGTCTGGGATTATCCTATGTTCTCACAGAGAGAAATCTGTGTCGCCGCATTGACGTCTGCGATTCGCTTCTCAAACGTCACGAAAATGATCCGTTATTGAAGCGCATCATCACTGGGGACGAAAAATGGGTTGTATACAACAACGTCAAACGCAAGAGGTCATGGAGCAAAAAAGAAGAACCGGCTCAAACCATTTCCAAAGCCGATATTCACCAAAAAATGGTAATGCTGTCTGTTTGGTGGGATTTTAAAGGAATCGTTTTTTTTTTGAGCTTTTACGGGATAACACAACGATTATTTCGGAAGTCTACTGTCATCAGCTGGACAAACTGAATGATGCACTTCAACAGAAAAGGTCAGAACTAATCAACAGGAAAGGT